CACTGTTATGCCCATTGTTAGCTATGATCGTCATTATAACGTGTTATTAACAAGTATAGATTTCTAAATTTGGTCTCAAGCAGTTGTAAAAAATTTATCACGTTATATATATATGCATTATCAGAAAATTTGAAATGTTATGCTTGGCTCACTACCAGATTTTTTATGTTACATTGAATCGCTACAAGTTTATCTATAGTTAATCTTCAAGGTTTTTCTATTACTGTAAATAGAAAATAAGCGAAACTGAAAAATACCTACGTCTCAAAAAAATTTGCAAAGTTTCTTTTGTTATTATTATTATAATTATTGTTCAGAAAGAATCATACAATTATCATTTATTGTCATATAATAACAATAGCGATGGTGTATTGATTATTCAAAAAAATTTTGTCCAACAAATATAAAGTAAAATAATTTTTTCTTTATGATATTTATTGTTCAGTTAAAACTTGTTTGTTACAACATTTTACAACATGTGGGTAGGGATCAATTAAATTTTTCTTTTATTTTTCATATCCAACAAACATCATGTTTTGAAATATTATTCGAAATGAATACATGACAATGTCCCAAAAATTTTGATTATTTTGTCATGATTATTTTTTAATTATTGAGTAAATCAATCCATCCGTATTCATGTTTTTGGGGAAATTTTTTTCCATTGAAAATATTTCTTTTGGAAATATAAAATAATTCTTTTAATGAATATATAATGTTAGAAAATAATTCCTTTAATGAAAATAAAAATTCAAAGAATACAACAAATACTAACAAATCATTCACCTGGTCCAAGTAACTGGACAAGTGGTGTTAGTAGAAATCGTAATCATAAAAGTACAGTTTTAGATCAAATTTAGATCAATTATATAATTATGGAACAATAACTAACAATGATGTAGATTTTATATCTTCATATTATGAAGACATGAATGATGAAAAATATTTGAAGATGATTAATAAATTATTAAAAAGTTAATTAATTAGAGAACAAATTAAATATACAAGATTCTACCAGAGAATCAAAATGTCAATCACAATCAATTAATCAAAACTACAACTTAATTAGTAACTTTGCCATGATCTCTTCCATTACCCTGCATTCTTCTCAAGAGCATTTAAAACAATCGCTACAATTAACAACGCATCTCCTGACACTGAACCTGGTAATAATTCAGAATAATTCAAATATGCAATTCAGAAGTTGCACCTATTGTCAATGTATCAAATGACGGTGATGATAATGATGATAATGATAATAATATTAACGTCATTTCATTGACTTATTGACTTTATTTCAATAACAACAATAATGATTATGATAAAAATTACAACAAATGGTTCATATCTATATAGTAACAGCAACACCGATAATAATGATAATAATAACAATAATAGTATCAATAATTCATCAAAGTCTCAAGATAAATATGCATACTATTTAAAATTACCCTACAACTTCAACATTAAATTTACTAATGGTTGATATATCATCGCAACACGTATCCTTAATTGTAATAAAACAAAATGATAAAATTATTATGATTTGTTTTATGGAATGTAAGCATACGCGTTTAGGATTATGAAACATTGAAGTTTAAAGGATTTTTTAAAGTTTGCCTTCAAGTTTGAAGTTTGTTCTAAACATTATATTCTTGGATAAATTTTTGACATATACTTCAACAAATCAGACAAAATGAACATTATGTTATAAATAAAAAGCAATCTCAAGGATCAAATTTAGTGTATTCGGCAAATTATAATAATAATAATATTTATCGATCCAATCTTTTTTTAATATTGAACATATACTCCCTTTCATAAGGGTAATAGAATGTTTTCATATGCAATTCTATATGGCTTGATTTTATCAAGAAAATCATCTGAAGATATTTCCGTAAATTTTATCAGTGAAAGTTACCTTGTAATATATTTTTTAAATTTTTTAATTCATCATCGTTCCGCTTTTATTCTTCACAATTTTCAATTTTATCCTATTCCCCATTGAATTGAATTCTTTTAAATTTAAATCATCTCTTCCTAATATAGAGGTAAGCGTTGATTTTCCATTGTTGAATTATTGTTAGGTTAATTTGTTGCAGTAGGTTAAACCAGTGTTGAGGCCAAGAAATTATTTGGCTGGCCAAGTGCCAACTACGAGCTAAAAAATTGAAATTTTGAATAAAATTTAAATTTTGGTGAAACCATTCATTTTTTCCTCTGATTGGATGTTTTTTGCAAATAATGAATTGGCTTGCAAACCAGCAATTCATCGCAAACTTAATCGATTATTAAGCAATTTTAGCGTGCCCCTTGCCTTTCTCCTGCATATTAACACTCGCCCACAAGGAGTTCAACAACGATATCTGCATCCAAGTTCAACTCATCAAACTTCTTCATTATAAAACAACTAATGAAAAGTCATAAATATACAGTATTAATGATAAGTATTTATCAGTAATAATAATAATACTTCATACTTTAGGATATTTTGGAGAGATGTTTTCCTTCTTAAATAAAAAAATACCATCGTCTGATCTTTTCCATCGATAAAGCTGAACTAAAATATGAAGACCTTGCTTTTAAAATTGTTGAATGGGTTTTAAAAGTTCTAACATCATCATCTTCTCCAACTTTGATTTCAAAATCAAGTCCAACATCAACAGTGGAAATATCATTTGCTTTGTCTCTTGAAGCTCGATTATCCCATGATAATTTTATTTTATGATCTTGAAGAATTAAAGTACCGTGATACCATTATATGCATTTTCAGCACCATTTATATCTTCAAATTCCACAAAAGCATGTCTAAAATCAATCAAACACTTGTGAATAAATGTCTTATTAAATTTTGACAATAAAATCAAAAATCAAAAACATAAATTACATCAAACAAAACCATACCTTTCAAATATACAAGTCGCATCATTTCCACAAAATGCATAAGATGTATTATCCACTCTGAATGAACATAAAGTTTCCCTCCTTTTTTTATTAACGACAGATTGAATAATGATGATGATATTATAATGAAATAGCTCATTAATCATAAATGAGTATTTACCTCGGAGCTAAGGAATGCCTTCTTTTCCTTTTACTATTATTTCTTCTATTATAATGATAATCAAAAAAGTTTAAAGAGACAAGTATGTAAATAGAAGATATAATAGAAGAAGCCAACTTTTTGTAAAAAAAAATTTTTCAACCTGAGAAACTCCAGCTCTAAAAGAAAATCATTCCAAGTTTAGGATAGATATTGTTAGCTCTAACTGATTTTTTGTGATTCACATAATTATGTGATAAACACAAAATCTGAAATTGCATCATTAAAGAACTCAGGAAATTTGAAAAATTAAATTTAAGCAAACCTGCGTTGAATGTAAGCAATGTTTAATAAGCAACAATTTAATTCAAATGATGTAGAAATGATTTTTGGTTGCTAAAACTAGAGTAGAGCTAAATATTAAAATCTGGTCATCGAAATTATTTCTAGCTAGCTAGAACTACAGCAAGATCAAATGTTAATATGATCGAAATTACTTTTAGCTACAATTGAGTATGAGCGAACAATATCTGGACATCGAAATCACTTCTAATAGGCTAGAGCTATAGTGGAACCAATATGTTTTTTATTATAAAAACAAACAATGGATATGTGGAGAGAGATGGAGAAAAAATAACAAGAGAATGTTAAAATAAGCAAATTCATATTTAACTGGAGAGAATTAGTTAACACTAGAGAATCTTTGAGGATTTTCTCATTAATCAATCCAATAATTTAAAAAACACATACGGTACTGCAAAAAATGGACCTAAATTACTCAAAAGCTCTTGGCAATGCGAATTTCTGCCAGAAGGAAATATATATTTCGTAAGGGTTTTTCAAACATGGCAGAAAGAATTTCATAGATCGTTTTCTATCATGTGATGTGGGAGCAGTTTTTGGATGTGGAGGATATATAGATTTTTACGTGTATAAACTGGACTGGGCAATAGAGATGGATGGTAATGATATAGCTAAGCATCATAGAAGGTTTGAACCTACAGAAGAATGTAAAGATATTGTTAGATAGGCAAAGGGTGCAGCTATCATTGATATTCGTAGTGAATCAAAAAAAAAGGTTCGAGAAAGATTTCATATATTAATGTGTCACACTCCCAAAACTATGATATTAATATAGAGGACACTGTGTGACTATTAGATTTACATAAATAAAATTCATTTAACAAAATTCGCAAATCGCCAATTTCAAGTATATTAATATTAACATTAATATAAATTTTTTCGATTATAAAATGTGCAAAGTTTTCATTGATATTGATATAAATAACTAGCCATGTAATAAAGTAGTGGGTATTTAAAGGGAGGAAACACTCGAGCCCTAACCCATAAAATGACTGTTCCTTTCCACTACTCCATACCACCTATCCATAAACCAATCTCTATTATAAAGATTTTACCGTTGCCTGCCTAATAACCCTCCAAGTGAACGAATATGCATTAACGCATCTCATCGAAGGTATAACTTTTTTCGGTCCTAGCTATCAAAGATTTGTTTAAAGTGATTCTAGATAGTTCAGTCTAAGCCTGTAATCAAAAAAATCATCAAATTTATATCTTGGTGATGTGGGGTGAGTCGGTAGTATACTCGAATTCCCAATTCTTACGATTACACCCACTAATTATAATCAGTGTGGCTAAGAACTAGCGAAGAATTAGGAGAATTATAAGAAGCTTCGCTTTGTTGATACTGTTCAGTTATTTGGACAATTACGTAGCGTTATTGTGATAGATCCGTTAATTGATTCAAATTCGGATTAAATGCTACCAAAATTATTATCAATTTAGTATCACGTGGAAAATCAATCCCAAATTTTATACAAATAGCATTTCGCTGATCAGTTTATACTTTTTTTGTAATAAAAAAATGGAGCAAAAGTGCATCTTTTTACAAATAGTGCTCGTCTTTTCACTCTTATTCTCAATAACAACATCAGAAATGGTAGATCCTTATCGCTACTATGGCAAGGCAAATATGACCGAAGAAGAAAAAAGACAGCTAATAATTAAACTTCCAAATGAACCAATACCCATAGGGTATACTAGCTTAAGGGACATCTTGCCCAGGGAAAAAGATTTAACTATTTTCATGGATTATGTTTATTTGTTTGGTGATATAGTAATGTATTATTATCATCATTATTATCATTTTTGGAATGAGATTATTATAAATAATAAATGGTTGCGATTTATTAATCTTTTTTAGGTTGAAATGTTAGGAAACCCCAATGAAACATTTACAATTTTTGCACCTACTAATTCAGTGTTTCGTAACCTACCATACCAACCTACAAGTAACATTTCTGTAACAGAGGATCCAACGACAAAATTACATAATTTTGTGTTAGGACATATTGTTGAAAAAAACTTGATCTCGCTTTCTGTTGGTGAAGAATTACAGACAATGTATGAAAATGTTAAAATCAAAGTTGACAAAGATATCAAGGATGAAAAATACTTGTTGAATGGAAATATACACACTAGCGAGAATTATAAGGCTGATAATGGAATATTTTATAAGGTTGATGGATTATTAGTTAAAGAGTATTGAAATTTATCTTTAGAAGAAATTAGTTCTTATAATTTGAAATCATCTCTTTAAAAACAATTTAATGGCTTGCTAAATTTGATTTTAAAATTAATTATATTAATATGAGACAATGATCACATGATTGTAATAATAATTACAATTTATTCACAATAAATAATTTTAAAAATTACCCCTCTCTGCATTGAGAATTTATATATAGTACAACCAGGAAAAATTATTATTAATATCAAATATTTTATAGCAAAACTTTGATTAATTATTAATTCATATATTAACAAAGCCAATAACAAGGATATTTAAAAGCACTTAAAAACCTCAAAGCGTTTTTCTTCAATGTCCCTTAACTACTCCACAATGTTTCTATGGATGAGACTAGTATCAAGGAAGTTAGAATTATCCTCAAAGAGACGGATCTTGACAATTACATTTAATAAAGCGATATAATGTGCAGACTTATTTATTATAACCTTGCTAAGATCAAAAATAACTAATGATTTACATAAAATTTGGTAATAATTCTCAATAGGCAAGCCACAAAGCAAGTCTATTTTTTTGAAATTCACCGTCCACATATTTAATCGGAAAATGTCCACACTAGGTTCATAGTAAGTAATAATGACAATATTGAAACCAAAGAAATAACAATTCATTGTTGATAAGAAACACTAGGCAATTTTTATTCATAGCAGCATACAAGTTTACTAAATTATTATTTAATAATATAAAAAAAAAAAAACATGCCTTCTTCAGGATCTTCTCATATTGTAAAAGGAATTTTATTGTCTATTGTTGCTTGTAGTGAGTATATTATCATCGAAACAATTTGTAGAAGATGTGTAGCGGTGGATGGAAATGGCCAAGCAACATTTCCAAAAGAGTTGTTTTTGACATCAGGCACTGAATTTGGTGTCAATATAAGATTGTCATCACTTGAATCGTCATATATCGCGTTGATATATTTGAACTTTGTCATCAATGCTAAACACTTCCCGAACAAAACCAAGCTAGATTATACTTCTATATTCCGTTGTGTATTATTAGATTGGATATGTTTCAATCAAGCTGTTTGTTGCATTATTTTATTATTATTATTATTACTACTACTGATATTATCATGACTAGTATTATGGTTCTATTATCACTGCTACTATTATTATTACTTGTACTGTTACTATTATTACTTGTATTGGTACCACTATTGTTATTATTACATAACTTTGGATTTACAATTAATTGGCTGGTTCATATTTTTTCATGATATCGGTCATTTCATCTGCCTCATATTCAAGTATTTCAAAAGCTGCTTTGGATATCTAAAACATTCTCCACTTGTAGGAAGTTAAAAGTTGATCATCATTGTCGTGACGTCTTTTAATTTTTTTTGCTTGATATAGAAAGAAATTAATGAATTTTCGTCAAGTATTGAAGAAAGTGAATAGTTTCTTTTTTCTTCCTAATTAGCCACCACACCATTATCACCAGCTTCATAAAGCCTTTATTGATGACAAGTGGTGGATAATTGGATGGATCATCATCTAAACTAGTAAGCTGATATGAAGGAGGTAAATTAGAAGAACTGCTGAACATCGTTGCTATTTTTGTAGGTGTTGTTGAAACCAAAATTGAGTATTTCTATTGTTGATACTCTGTTAACTACTCGTGACGTGTAAATGGTGAGATGCGCACAGAGAAAAATAAATCAATCGATAAAAGTACTTATATGCAAAAATTATTTACCCTGTTTAATTAACATGTGGTTATATTTTAATAGTTTGAAATTTTTTCTTACAAGCTTAAAATAAAAAAAAATAAAAATCATGAAAACTATTTGTATCAATAATTTATAACTATTATTACTATTATTATCAATTAGGTTTATAAAATTGATATTATTCGAAAAATAATTTGGTGGTTCAATTTATCAGTGTGCTTGTCTTTTATGAAGTGAAAAGGCTAGATCGGATTCGCAATTCATATTGCAAATCTTACATCTAATGAAGGATCTTGAAACAACTTGTCCTGTTGTTGAAGTAAATTGCATGGTAACTGATTCGCCAATACCGTTAAAATTGATAGGGTTAAAAAAAGGACTAAAATTATTGATGGGGTTAAAATTATTGATATGATTATTGTGAGGAAGACTACCACTATTGGTGTAAGTATTATTGTTATTATTGAGTCCTGGTGAATTAATATTTGGAATTGCGTGTGGATTCTGTGTCTGATTGTTTGTTTGATTACTATGTTGTACTTTATTTAATGGACCTTGATTTTTGATTTTTGATTTTTTTTTTTTGCCTTTCTTTTGCTTGAATGTTAGTGGAACATGTCTTATTTCATCCTCCTGAATACCTTTCATATTATGAACAAGCCTTTTATGTCTACTAAACGAATATCTATTATGATTGACTTCTTTACATCCAGGACAAGTGATTAGAATTGGGTGATAAGCTTCTGGATGATTGGAATCTATATGATTGCTTAATTCTAATAGTGAAGAAAAAGACGCATTGCACATTTCACAAGGAAATTGCGGATATATTTCAATGATATTATTGGATTGATTAATAGTTTCTTTGCCTTTAGTTGATGTAGTAATGATGTTTTTTATATTTTGATTATGAATATTGCTATTACTATTGTCACTGATGTCATTTTCTTGTTTTTTATTTTGGATTTGGATTTGGATTTGAATATTACTATTATTATTATTAATGCTGATTTCTTTTATATCTTGAACTTTGTCATTAATCGTACTCGTGCTCATACCCATACCCATATCATTGTCATTAATAATATTCATACTCGTACTCATATCATTGTCATTGCTATCATTGTCAATTTCCCTCTCCTCCCACTCATCATCATCATCAATAATTATAAGATTTCTATCTTTGTCTCCTTTTTTAATTTCATCAATGCCATTACCATTATCATCTCTATCATCACTGTTGTCTTCAAATTTAGCAATTGTAAATTTATTTTCATTAGAATCAGTCTTGATTTTTTAATATATTATAAATATAATCATTACCATTACCATTACGCCTTTTTGGTTTTCTTTTTGCTTTCTTATTAGTATTATTAGGAGCATTCAAATGTGCTGATTTAACATGTAGAAGAAGTGAATCCTGACTTTTTAATCTTCTTGAGCAAATCAAACATCTTACATTATCCATTATGATTTCCTATCATCAAGAACAAAAAATCGAATTTAGATTTGAATAATTGACTAATTATTTTTTTTTTTTAGATTTATTTACCTCGTTTATATTTTACTCGAAAAAATTTTTGTTACTAGTATTGATTGGTATTAGAATCAGGAGTGTTAGATAAATATAATAATAATTTCAAACCATTTCACACAAAACGATCGAAAGTGATCGACACTTAATCAATGAATGATTTTTAATATTAAAAATACAGAATTGTTATTCGCACCCCTCCCGTGACTAAGACAAAGATGAACCAATAAAATCATCACATTTTAAAGCCATTCATTGGTCACATTACTACACTTAGTCACGGGAGGGGTGCGAATAACAATTCCCTAAAAAAATATCATATCCTTTATTTGTTAAAAAATTAATTATATTTGAAGAAATACTAATACCATTGACTTCTACTAACTCAACCTCCTTCCATACTACTTTTATTGGATTATTAATAATATCTGCATAAACATATTGATTATTGTCATACATAATACCTAATTGCCCAATCTTCATCACCAATTAAATCTCTTAATTTTTCACTGCCTTCTTCTCCAATGAATCAACATAGATAAGAATGTCTAGCAGGCAAATATCACCTTTAATAACATACCCTCACCACATTGAATAGTCAATGACTTTTCCCCTAAACTTCTATGATGTAAGGTCAATACTAAAAATTAATGATCTTTTAAATTCTGAAGGAGAAGGGACATTTAAAGGATACTCATGATAATTAGAATGTTTTCGTGTTTCATGTTGATTTAAACTATTTTTTGAATTATATAGTTAGCACATTCTAAAGACCTAAATTTTGTGCAAATTTTAAAAGTATAGAAGTCATGTTCTATCCTACCTTTTAAAAAGAGCTCTATTAATTGATGGAATAAGTCTTTAATTTTAATGTAATAGAGATATTTTCTAAAAAAATTATTTGTTGTAGAGTTCTATTCTTAAAACATGCACTTTATTATGCTCATGTGCCAGGATCATTGCTAAATTTAGACTAACAATCGACAATCATATCTAAATTTGGCAGGAAGAAAATAATTGTTTAACAAAATCACGTGAAGACCTTTCATTGCATTTTTGAACGAATCACGAAATCGCAATTTTTGTTGAGCGCGTGGCGCAGCAACAGGAGGTCTTTAGACCGAACCAACCATATATTAATATATAAAAAAATTTTTTATTTTGCAAGAAAAACTCTCTTCAATTGTATTATTGGATTTATTTCCTTCCTCGCCATTATCACTATTTTCTTCTATCTCCTCGTCTTCTTCATCTTTGTTATCATTATTGTCATAACCACCATTAACCAATTCTTGTTCGTTGGTATTATGAGATCGCGTCCGTATGTTGATGATCAATAACCGTGTAACATAATGTTCGCTTTGTCTGGTTTTGTTGCAGTATGTCCCATATTAATATATACAATTATAATTATGTAATTAATTATTTTTCAAGCTTTCTTTCTATTTTTATCATTCTCGCCCACACACACTATTCTTGTACATAATTATATTTTCACATTTTAATATATATATATGTTATAAGTTCAATTTCTAAAAATATATAATAATATGGATGATAGGTACATAAAGATTGAAAAAGTTGGAGAAGGTTAGTTTTTTTAACAATATTGTGAATTCACGAGCCATAAATAAATCAAATTTTAAAGAATTTATTTTATTATCTTATTATTATTATGGTTATTTTTATAACAATAAAATCAATAAAAACAGGGACATTTGGTGTGGTATATAGAGGCAGAGATCAAAAAACAGGATGCGTTGTTGCATTAAAAAAATTTCGTATACAAAATCAGTTTGCTGGTGGTGGTAGTAGTATGCCAGGCATACCTTATACAGCCATTAGAGAAATATCAATACTAAAGAGAATTAATAATAAGAACATTGTGAAGTAAGGCGTTCTTTTTTTAGAGGAAGGAATTTTTGTGTGTGGTGGATGATGTTTGATTTTGTTAAATCTTATTAATAATTATTAATTATAATTGATAGATTATTAGATACAGTTCAATCTGAAAATAATATATATTTGGTATTTGAATATCTTGAAACAGATTTAAAGAAGTATATAAAAAATAATGGATTATCAGAAATTATTGTCAAAGTAAGTAACCAATTAGATCAACCAATTTAGAAATTACATTAATTGATCGATTAATCAATTAATCATAATCTATCTCGATCTCTTTTTAAATTATTAAAGAAATTTTTGTGGCAATTAATGAATGGTGTTTGTTTTTGCCATTCTAATCGAATTCTTCATCGCGACTTGAAACCACATAATTTGTTGATTGATTCTAATGGAAATTTAAAACTAGCGGATTTTGGATTAGCAAGAGTATGTAGTCTTCCAATAAAAGCGTATACTCATGAGGTAATATCCATTTATTCCTATATCAATCAATTGGTCTGATTTATGAATAATTGTTATAATAAATCCTAATTATTACAATCATTATTATATAATATTATTATTATTGTAGGTTGTAACTTTATGGTATCGAGCCCCTGAAATACTTCTTGGATGTCAACAATATTCAACTGGTGTAGATATTTGGAGTGTAGCCTGTATATTTGCTGAAATGTTTTTGAAGGACGCTTTATTCAGAGGTATGTATACATTTAAAATATATTTCTGGTAATGGTGAAGATGATAAGAGTTAAGAACTATAAGAAAAATTTTTTTGGAAAAAATTTTAACTAGGTGGCAGTGAAATAGATCAACTTTTTAAAATATTCAGGTATATGATTTTTCTATATATAATTATTCATTTATATTATATTAATATTAAATGATTTTTTTCTTCTCGCCCCGCATAAAATTTTATAAAACAAGTTTACTTGGTACGCCAAATGAAAATACATGGCCTGGAGTTTCCAACCTACCAAATTATAAAGTAATTTTTCCTAATTGGGCAGCAAAACCATTAAAATCACGTATTCCCAACCTGAACTATGAAGCAATTGATTTATTAGAGGTGTGTATGCACATATACTTATATACTTACTTATATATACTGTACACACATAAGAGACGGATCAATAACAATTATATGTAATTTATATACATAGAATATGTTGGTTTATGAACCCAACAAACGAATTTCAGCAAAATTAGCATTGTATCATCCATATTTCGATAGTTATAACCAACGAAAACGTATAATACATTAATTCCGTTATTTTATATATGCTATATATGTAAAAGATATAATAATATTATTTTTTTCATTTTTTTAACGCAAATAAAAAATTGAAACCCCCGTGTCACGCACGGTTCTGTAGATTTTAAATCGTGTAAATTTTTTTATATTTTTCATACAGTGCACAATGATAAGCTGAATAAGCCTCCATATGGGCACAGTTCTGTATTGAACCTAATTCAACTGGGAATTTAAACTATGATGAAGTTGTGGTTTATAAGGAGAAGACTTGTAATCCGCAATATTTAATTGTTCATAGATTTATCATAATAGATTTATTCATCAGATCGTCTATAATCAAAAATTGTTTATAAAATACTAAAAAAACATTGTAACATTTCAAAAATGTTAATTAGAACTTATTGGCTGGATTTTTCTTGGACTAAAAATTAGTATTAAGTTTCGTGCAACAAAAGATTTTTTAAACAATTTATTGAGCCAGGAATTCCATTTAGTAAAGGAGAAGATAAGATATTACCGAGAGATAAATGAAACTCATCTTTTTCTTGCTAGATTATGTGCAAATAATGGTTTAATATTTCCTACTTTTCACATTTCTCCTACAAATTTAATATATGAGCAATACATGTTTCATTTTTGGAATAAAACTTTCAACATGTATGCAGCATTATCTGAAATGAAAGATATAATATTTTAAAAGAAATATCAAATTAATTAGCTGTGTTAATTATCAATTGAGAAATTGTAGCATTATTAACAGACGGTCTCAAGGCAGCAATTCATGAAAGCTAAATAAAATATTAACTGCAGCACATCCACAAGCATTTATTGATTCATCTGCTGTAATACTTACTCTTTGGTTCTTTAAACTTTCTAATTCATTAATGGCAAATATTTGTTTCTCATCAATTTTCTGTCTACATGAGTAAATAATGCATGAACTATATAGATCAAATCTTATTTGTTCATGTCCCCGGAAGGAGGTCGAGAACGTTCCAAAAGTTAGTAGTTGTATTAATATAGTGCGTGCCATCTAAAGACATCAAATGCTACATTGTACTGTCAAATTTTCAAATCCCAAATAACAATGATATTTTTTGGTGTCACGGGATTATAAAATCACATGACTCAATCATTTATTATATTCATTATATTGTATATATTGGAAATATCATAATACAAGTCACTCCCGTTATAATTAATCTGTTGTTATTCATAATTAATTTTGTTCCCCGTAATTAGTTTCGTCCCCCATAATTACATGTAAATGTTTGTAAATTTAGATAAAAGCAAACTTATGGCATATTCATTAATAAACAACTAGAAGTTCATTCTATATATCCCTATGGTTACTATTAAGAAATTTTGTATAGTTAGTTGGTTAACAAAAATTATTTTTTAAACCAATACATTTGAGATCCAGAACTTACTATTAAAGATCTTAGAAACTAGAAGTTCTATTTTATTTATTCCTATGGTTATTAAGAATTTTTGTATAAAGTTACAAGAAA